AATAATGATATGAGCACCTTTTCACATGCTTATTGGCCATTTTTACATATTCTTTTGTATGTTGCTCCTACTTTATGTTTTTTTTTATGAAGAGTAAAGCCCTTTGGGGTTCTCAAATGAAAGCCCTTGATTTACTAAAGCCCTTCTACCTTAGCTTCCAACTTCATTTCCCCCAAAGTGTCTGGTCAGCTCTTTAGCTTCCCAAATGTTTTTTTGTTGTTGTTGTTGATGGATTTTAAGAGCCTTCCCTCTGCATCTGTTACTTTAGATTTGGCCTCTAACTTGTGGGGTGGGCGTGTATCTGAACAGTGACTTGTGTTGTTCTAGAATTTGTTCTGAAAGTCTGCCTCTTGGTAGGCCTAAACTTCTGCCTCATCAACTTTATAAAACTAATGTTTTCTAATTAAATTTTAATCCTACACGGGGCCAAATAGAAGATGCTTTTTAAAGCCTGATTGTAAAGTTCACCTTGAACATTTCCATTTTTCCAGTATCGAAGTTCCTCCAATCCTATCTGCATTTGTTGCTCTATAATGCTTTCATAAAGCTGTTTTATATACATGGTACAGCTTTTATTGGTTTGTGTGTGTGTGTGTGTGTAAGGATTATTCTTACATAAGTTATGTTGTGATGGCTAGAATAATAAGTTCTGTTTATTACATTTTAAATTCCAATATTATATCTTTCATTTCTAGAAATTAACTTTGGTCTTCTTTAAAATTTAGCTGGTTATGTTTTCACAGCCTCTGTCTTCTTCCTTACTTACAAAGATATACTTATAAATTAAAGATATTTTCCCCTTTAAAGAAGTTCTACAAATATAATTTTTATTTGCTATATAATGATACATTTGTTCCTTTTATCATTCAACATATTTTACTCTCCTCTCATATGATACTTTATTGTGGATAGGCACAATGATATCATTACACAAAGGATTCAGTAAAAATATGTAGTAGTATGGTAAAACAACTTGCATTGAAACTTGTAAAACACAGATATGAATGTATCTATGGAATATAATAACTTAAACCACATCTGTGTGAAGTAATGTATACAATTATAAAGCTGATAAAGCAAAGGAAGTCCAAACGTACTTAAATATTCTGCTTTCCATAAATATAGTGTAAATAGAATGAATATTTGTTACTTGACATTTTGGTAAAATGTGTTTATTTTTGTTTACTCACTATTACTTAGAACAGGATCACACTGAAAATGATCAATTATTTGTTGTTTGTCCCAGATACAAGGTTATATAAATTCTATCAGTCACTAAAATTTCATGCCTCAGACACGTTTGATTTCATATCCTGTTTCCAGTCACTATGTTCAGACTTTTCTCCTCCAACATGTTTGTCTTTTCTTCGCCATTTTAACTTCCATCACTTAGGCTAAGCTGCCCATTTTTTGCATGCCAAGTATTCTAGCAAGTTCCAAGGAGTATTTTTAACTTCAGACTCGTCGCATTTAAGGCTGCCAAGGTAATCTTCCATAAAAGATATTGAGCCCTTGTCACTTATGCCAGTGAAGTCTGCAGTGGCATTCTATTTCTGCTAGCAATAAACCTGAGTTTGACTATATAACTTCAAGGTTCTCATAGTCTGTTCAAGCACATAAATTCCATCTTTGTTCTATATTACTTTCCTAAGAGACATTTTCAATTTCTGTAAAATTGATATCCACCACCCACTGTGCATTCCTCCTGTGTGTTTTCAATGCCTCAACCAGATGTGTTTTATCATATCTCATTCTGCCTCACACTAGGACAACTTATGGATCTGACATATTTCCTAGTCTATTATAAGATCCTGAGGACAGCAGCAAAGTCTCATTCATGTTTGTAATCTCTGGGGAAGCTACCATTTTGTCATGCAAATAGTAAGTATTCAATATACAGTTCCCTGAACATGCCATGCTCTCTCCACTTGGAATGATTTCCCTCATCCTTCACTTCTGATAACCGAGCCTTCTCCTTCTCCTGCACAATGGAGTTTGAGCATCACCAACCCTACAAGCCTTCCCTGAAATGTTCCCGACCTTCCACATCTCCTCACAGTGTGTGTGGGTGGATCTACTATTGTTTGTATCTGCTCACAGAGCACCTTACATTCTATCTCTAAAAGCATTCCATAACTCAGATTTAACAACCTCTTTAACTGTCCATCTTACTAGGTTGAGATCCCTTTGAAGTCAGGGATTATATTTATCACAGTTCATATTCCTTATGACTAGGACTCTAGCATAGTAACTGCTGTTGAGTGCACATATATAATTTATCTTCAGTGAATGAGTGATTTGTTTCCCCATTCAAGGGAAATCTATTTAAGGGTAAAGACTATATCTTATGTTTCTTGTGTCACCCAGAGCATCTGATAAAGTGGGTACACACTAGGTTAAAACTTTCCAAACTTTCTCAGTTAATGGCTCCATCGCTGCCTGAGTAATGTTTTATGATGGCCTGTAAGCCAAAACAAATACCTAATTTTCCCATTTATTAATTAATTGGATCATAATGTAGCAGCTATTTATGATATACAAAAATTGAAAGAAAAAGACTTTTATTTAATCCTCAACCACAGTTACTTATTCATGAATTTATCTACATCCGGCATTGCACAACTTCTTAAATCTTGGCATAAAACTGGACAATAACAATCTTATTTCCTGTTCCACAGTGACATTTGTATGGTATTTGCTCTTTATCACAACAATCCCTAGACCAAACCCTGATTCACTATGATATAAGAAAAAGCAAAATAAGACAAATTAGTATGGACAAGATAGTAGTTTACCTGGTTTCCATGAGATCTCAAGTATTCCTGTGTTGCCCTCTAATACTAAAATACCTACAGCACCTCTGAGAGTTCACTGCAGCATCACAGGGCACCTTGATGCAGGTTGGAAACCACCGCCTTAGGTAATCACAGTGATCATTCATTCACTCATGGTTTAGTGTGCATGACACTATACTGGGTGTTAAAATTACAAAGTGATTAAAAAGGTAGTAATAATAATGGGATCAACAACAGCAGTGGACATCTCAGCAACAACACATCCTATGTTCCAGGAATTATACTAAGTAAGTTAAATAAAGTTATGCCAGATTATAAGCTTGTTAATGATACTTACAATTAAAGATTCTGTCAACTAACAGAGATCTGTGTGAAAGACATAGTATATTTAAGCAAAATATAAAGAGTATTAAAAATATATACATAAGCAATCATGTTTGGTGTTTAAAGCTAACAAAATAGTTATGTGTATTTTTGGTTAATTCTCAGAATCATTTTGAGAGGCAGGCATACTCTGAGGTTTAAAGCAGTCAAGCTATTTAACTAATGTTATATGTTTTAAAAGTGGCAATATTTTAAATGTATTTTAAAGTGATTTTATAGTAATTATTCCTGAAAGAGAATGTTCAGCAATTAAATGATAACAATGGTAGATTTTTAGAATGTTAGTAACTGAGGGTATATCTGTGGAGGTTGATATTGCCATGTACCGATAATGACAGGAACAGGGATACTTAAAGTGAAAAAATGACAGCGGAAATTATATTGTCTACACATACATTCTTCAGTCTCCCACCTAATCCATTTTTCACTATCCTGTATAGAAATGATATACTTTTTGCTAGAGAACTTGTGATTTGATAGCTTCATATAGCACTGAGTTAACATTTTTCACCTGCTTTTTCTAATCTGTCCCTTTTCATCCAAACCACATGGCTAAGAAGTAAAAAGTATCACTTTGGGAAGAGGAATCGATGCTGGGGAGGCACCATTAAATGTCTAAAACAGCCCCGTTCTGATTTGGAAAAGCCTCTCTGGAAACATGGTGCGCAGAGGCGACCGTGCTCTCCCATGGGACCAGTGCCAGGCAGGGCACCACTTCACTGCGACCTGGAAGGACCGCCGGGACTCATGTAGCCACTCGGACTTCAGAGTCACCCATACCAGCTTTTCAAAGTAAAGATGCGTCTGAAGCTGGCCGATTACTTTCTACATATTTCATTAAGAAACAATAATAATCATGTCAGTTTGGCACCCAATAAAAAATACTTTTTTATAAAGGGATCATAACACAGAACACTATTTTTGCACACCCAACTTTTGTTGAAATGTTCCATTTCAAAGCAACCAAAACTCTAAAAGAGTCAAACTGTATTGTTATAGATCAAGTCTATTTTTAAAAGATTAATCTGTCTCAATAAAACAGTGCTGATCTCACACCATTTTATAATCTATTGTGGTTTGATCAAGACTCAGTTCCTACTTTTAAGGTGCCGATAATCTAGTGGAAGAGACACAAGCAGATCCTTTAAATATAATATGGCTGGGCAGTGATACGATATATACTGAATACCAAAGAAGAAAGAACAGGTGATTTAATCTGAGAAGCAGAATATAAATTTTCTGGATTAAAAATTGCTAAATTATTAAATAAGAGTGGGTTTTTCAAGTTAGGAAAGACATGTCATCCTAGGCTGAAGGAACAGTATGACTAAAAGTCCAACAACCTGAAACAGCATGGTATTGTGCCCGCAGTGTGGTACTAAAAGCATGAAATGTGAAACAGGGTGACAGAAGATGAGCTGGAGTGGTGGGACCAGGCCACTGAAAGATTTATATCTCATCCTCTGAAAGATGTACAGGTCATGCTACGTAGCTTGAATGTTATCCTATCGGCTACAGGGCAGCACTGGAGAGTTTAAAGTAGGAAAACGACATTCATTTTTTTTTTTATTCTAAATTGAAAGAGGACAAAATTGGAAGCAAAGAAGTCAATGTAGGAGGCCAAGGTAAGCAATAAGAACCATAATTAAGACCATGATAGCTGGTAGGAAGGAAGTGTATATGTTTAAGAATTATTTAACAAGTAAAATGGGAAGGTTTTAATGATTAAAAAGGTATGAGAATGGGGATGAGAGAGAGAGAGAGTCTAGGAGAAATTCTAGTTCTCTGGACTGGATAACTTGGCAGACGATGTCTCATCTAATGAAATGAGGAATTTAACAGAAGGACAAAGTCTTAAGAGATGAAAAGGTAAGTTGATGTACTATTTGCTCTCTTGTCCCTAGATAGAATACTTTTGGTAATTAAAATGTAATTATAATTTTTCCTATAATTAACTAGGTTACTATAAAAATTTCATAAATACAAATTTAAAACAAACCAATGAATCAAAACTAAATAAGTCAATACAGAAAAATTATTTCAGTGTTGTGAAACTATCTGGCCTGCTAAGCTAAAATAGAAATGCTATTTCCTTTATAAAAAGAAGGGCCAGGTAGCAATACTAAATTTCTTAAAGAAAATATAACCACTGATTGTAATGTCTGTGGCTTTGGGGGAAAACATAACCCCAAATTACAGTGGCTGTGGTTATAAACTATTATGAAGAACATTCAACGTCAGAAATAGTTTGTCTTGTATGCACTGGCGTCCTTTTACAGGACTTTTCTAGAACAGCAAAATTAATTACTCTCTTCTTTTTGTCCATGTTGGTGTCAATAACAAGTGTACTTTCCTTTCTTTAACAAAGATTTTCAAGGCACACAGAATTAACCTAATATGATAATCATGTAAGTCAGAATCAAACATTCTACTTGATATCTCAGAAAAAACATAAAAATCTATAATCAACACTATGACTTAGTCTTACTTTATGAGCAAAGCTAGACAAAATCATCTTTCAAATAAATTCGAAGCTATATGTGACACATTCTTAAGTACTGCATTTTCTGTCATAGTTTAATGTTTATCTCATCAGTTAAGGACACTATCAACATAGAGAGGCTGTTTTATTTTCCTTACTTCTCAGGAGTAATTTTACTTGCTTAAGTTTACACTGATTGCTTTTTGCTTTGCCATATTCTATCCTTTCCTAATTTCTAGTGTGACTTGGTGGCTTAAGATGCAAGTTGCTACTAATTACAAGGTTTACTTCCAGAATTATTTTTATTAAAGAAACATCTGAGTGCTGTGAAGTGACTTAAATCTTAGAATTCAAAAACAAGAGCTTCCAGGCTTTTCTAAATCAGCCCCTTCATTAAGTCTGCAGCCGTTTGTCGTTTCCTGGACAGTAGTAGCTCTTCAGGCTGTATGGCTCCCAACTAGCTGTCCAAGAACTAGAGGTCATGATGAATATTGGCCTCTGTAACTAGACAGGAGGTGGGCAGAAGGTGGCAGAAGCTACTGTTTACGCTGGTGACACTGAGCCTCCTAGAAAAGGCGCATGAAGCCCTGGCCTCTCAATCTTGGACAATAGTGTGATACAGAAAGCACCAATAACATTAATACTTCCACTTTCATCTGAAATACTACACCTGTTAGTGTGAGAGATTATTTCCACTATTATACAGTTAATCTCAAATGGCCATATTTTTTCTAGATAGAAGATGGCCACATTCCATAAAAAAATTTCATGTAGAGGTCTGTCCAGAAATTATTCTTCTTTTTATTTGTCTTTACATACCATTTTCTCAATCCCAAATTTTAATCTCCAGCTCTAACAAATCACCTGAACTCCAGAACCATATTTTTAACTGCCTACTCAACATTTCCTCATTCTAGGATTGATAGGGACCTCTAATTTAATATGAACAAATTGGATTTTTTTGTGCCCCAGAAACTTGACCCTTCTTCACCATAGTAAATGAAGTCACCTTTTGAAATCACCATCTATCCAATAATTTATTCTGGTAGGCATTTGTTTTTAAAAAACAGCTTTATGAAAATATTATTTGCATGTAATAAAATTCATCACTATGAAATAGATATTTTGATAAGCTTTGTCAAAAATCACCAAAACAATTATAATTAAAAAATTTCCATCACCTTCAAAGTTTCCCCCACCCTTCCCAGGCAACAACTGATTTCTTTCCCCTCAAATTAGTTTTGCCTTCTCCAGAATTTCACATAAACAGAATCATGTAGCATGCAAATTTTTTTGAGTCTGGCTTCTTTCCTAACTTCCTTATCTAAACAAGTCCCCTATCACCCATTCTCAGCTAAACACATAATCCTGATTTTTTTCTTCACAACCTATATCATTATACGGTATTACCTTATTTATTAGTGGGTTTTTTACTTGAATATAAGCTCCAGGAGTGCCTACGGACCTTGTCTATCTTGTTAGATGCTATACATCAAAATCTTCCAACAGTTGTCAACAGTGCCAACACATGGTAGATGCTTAATAAAAATTACTCAGTGAAAAAAAAAATTAAAATAACCCGTTCAAGTTTTTCCTATTGAAATTATACATTAAAGGATCAATAAGCTGAATTCATATTTTATTCTAAGATGAGAACATTGGGAGGGAGAATAGCGTAGTGGCGAGCTGCAAGGCCTCTGGAGTAAGGCTGCCTGATTTTGGATCCAAACTGTTGCCTTTTCCAAAGTTATTATAGCCTCGAGCAAGTTACATAATCTTCCTAAGCTTTAATTTCCGATCCTGTAAAAATAGTTTCTGCCTCATAAGGTGGTTGTGAGGATTAAATGAGATCAAACATATAAAACAATTAGAAAGTGCCTGGTACTTAGAAATAAATTAATGAGAGCCAACACTGTTACAATTATTGTCAACCCTACCACCACCAGCACCAGCACTACAACTACAATTTTCTTAGTATTTTTCTATAGCCAAAACTGAAGAACAAATTCCATAAAAATAGCTTTGTAGCAAATAGCCTGAAATATTTGTCTAGAATAAAGCCAAGTAAATGAAACTTGAACATGAAGAACTATTATTACTTTCTTTATTGATATAAGTGATAACATTCTGTCAATTTTTGTAATGTCTAATATTCCAGGTATTTTCCTGAAAGGAGTAACAAGGATGTGAACAATGAGACTGACAGTTAAAATCCTCAAGGGTATGAACAAGTTCAAGAGGCAGGATTTCAGAATCCCATCACTAGTAGTCCCTGGGTAAAGTATATTTACAGATTTTATCTCTGGTCCTGCAATTTAGTTAATTGGCATTATTTAATTAATGTGATTTTTTACAAAGCAATTTGTAATACTTTATTCCTTTTTTAAATTTCCTTTTCTAGGGAATTAATGCAATCAATGGATGAAGTGATGTCTATGAATGTCCATAAATTGGTGATTTCCTAAAAAGTCAATATTAAAATGTTAATGCAGTGGTTCCCATACTTGGGAGTTGATATGAATTTTCTTCCTATCAAAGGTGTTCCTCTAGAAAAAAATCATATATAGATAAAATCTAGGAATATACATATTGTGATTTGTTCTATAATAAGCATACTCTTTATGATAATCAACCTATCTAACTTCTCACCTACCTATTTATTATAACTTTAAATTTTTTTAACTATATTTTTATTGATTTCAGAGAGGAAGGGAGAGGGAGAGAGAGATAGAAACATCAATGATGAGAATCATTGATTGCCTGCCTCCTGCATGCCCCACACTGGGGATTGAGCCCACAACCTGAGTATGTGCCCTTGACTGGAACCAATCCTGGGACCCTTCAGTCCACAGGCCGACACTCTATACACTGAGCCAAACAAGCTAGGGCTAACATTACATTTTTAATGTAGTTGCAGTGACTAAACATAAATTTGGATTGTGGTTTTTTTTAAAAGTAGAGTAAAAAGGCAAGGTTAAAAGTATAAGAAGATAAAAAATACAGTCATATTAAGAATTATTTGTTTACCAAAGGCAAAATTATTATTAATACTGATATGTCCACTAAGTTGATTTCAAGTAAGATAAAATATTAGTAAGAATACTACATTTTGAGAAAAATAAGAAAAAATATTCACAAAGAATTCATTTTACTAACCTGACTAATTTTTCTTTGTTCTTGTATAGCTTTTTGAATTGCCTGAGATACTTCTTCTTGATCTTTTGCATGCTCAGTCTTCCATAATTCCCTTTCCTCAGCATGGACTTTTTCCAAAGTTTTTCTTTCTTCTTCTATGGCTTTTGAAACTGCATCCTTCATTGCTTCTTTCTCAAGCTTCAAAACAAACAATGACCAAAACAAAAAGAATTGAAAGGATGACTGCACAATAATTCTTTGAATAAGACAGACTTGGATTAACCTAAAAAACACTCAACTTCATTTTGATTCCACATGGTTTAGTTCTGACACTGTTGTTTTTATGCATATTTAATAATTTCTGAAAAATAAAATCAATTATTTTTGTACAAATAATAAACTTATTTCCTTGGCATTTCTAAATGCCAAAGAAACCAAGCCTTAGCTTAAAGGGCAGTGGTTAAACTATTTAGTCTTAGGATCTTTTTACATTCTTAAAATTTATTAAAGACTTCAAAGAGCTCTTATTTATGTTGGTTATACATATTAAGATTTACCACATTAGAAATTTAAACCAAGACAAAATTAAAATGTGTATTGATTAATTAATTTAAAACTAATGACTATATTTTATAAAAAATAACTATATTTTCTAAAATTAAAAAGTGAAAGGAATGTATGTAAACCTCCTTAATATCTGACTTAATAGAAGGTATCTAGATTCTAATATCTTCTTCTGTATGGATCTGTAATGATATTATTTGGTTGAAGTATATTAAAAAGAAGAAACCCAATCTCACACACATAGGTAGTAGAGAAGGGAGAAATATTTAGTAGCCAGGTCAGGTCACTGTAGATATTCTCGATGATTCCACAATTAAGTAGTAGTTCTTAAAAGTTAGTTGCAGCAAAGAAAATCAAATCATGTCAAATTTTTGTACTCTTACATTACAATCCTTTCTAGAACTTTGAATGAATCCGTTATCTATGCATGATTTTAAAGATACTTTTTACTTGGGAAACATTGAATGAATGAGTTATGCATCTCCTCCAGATGTTGATAAATTTCATTAAATCATTCCTAAAAAGTCACATTTGTTAATCCCACTGTCAATTTCATCAGAAAAGTTTTAGGTATTAGAAAGCAGATAGAAATTTTCCAAAATTCTAATATTTGCTCCAAAGCTTGAATTTTATCATTAGCAATAAAAACTCTTAGTTTTTTTCTTAATGTGCTGGGCTCACTCCACCTTTTCAGAGTAAATGTCTGCCAAAAAGCAATGTAACTATAACACTAGTTACTCAGTAAAATGCAGTCCACCCTCCAACAATGCCTACACTTCAGCTGCAACACAAACAACTTCACAAGAATTTTCCTCAAGAAAACCATCCTACTTTTATGCAGTAAAGTCCAGGGAATTCCTACCCTAGTCCCTGTTGCTTCCAGTTCATGACCATTTTGACAAAAGTTATGGAAGTTGACGGTTACCATTTTCTGAACTTCTATTTTACTCCACTATTCTTCTCTTAAACAACTCTTACTATGCTCACCAGTATCTTCCATGTTGTTTAATCCAAATGATATTTTTTGTTTTAATCCTTATTTTTGTTGACTTCAAAGCAACATTTTACACAGTTGCTTATTCCTATTTTCTTGAAGCCCTCTCTTTTCTTGGTTTGCACAACAGCATGAAGTTTATATTTCCCCTATTAATCTGGCTGAGTCTTTTTAGTTTTTTGTAACTTCTTCCTTTCTCTGGATTTTAAATATTGTTGTTCTTTTAGGGCTCAGACCTTAGACTACCTTTATGTTACACTCTCCTGAGAAGTGATTATATATGACAGCAATTTCCATGGCTACCATTACCATCTATCTACTGAAAAACAAAACCATTATTAGTATCTTTAGGTCACTCCTTTCTCCTGAGTTATAAATGACAGGTAGATTTAGTCATCTACTTGACTTTGTCATCTGAATATATCACAGGCATTTTAAACTCCATACCAAAGAAATAGCATTATTTTCCATGTTGCTGTTGAATCAATATTCAGAGAGTTTACAGCTTGCTCACCTCTTATATCATCCAGACAAAACATGTAAGTTGATTCCACCTTCTACTTCTAGAATTTTCCTTTCTAAGCTACTACTACTACTCTATTTCTGCCATTCACTATATCTACCCAGACTTCTGATGCACTCAATTATTTCTCTGCTTCTAGCCTTTGTCTCCAATTTCCCAAAAGTTAATGTCAATTACCATTATGTCACACCAATATTAAAAATGTCCATGTGTCTACTCTTACCTATGGAATAAAATTCAAACTTAAAATTCCAAATGCAAGCCTTCCTTCAACTCATTTCAAAGTGATTTATTTGTTAAAAACTCCTATGACATGGAAATACTGTCTATACACTCATAATAATTTAACACATTACTCCTTGTCTTATTGGTAAATGAATAATATTTTTTCTGTCCTGATGTAAGTTCTTTAAGAAAAAGAGAAAATCATAGTCACCCTTGAACTTCCATCTTGGCATAGTTATCCTATATAATAAAAGCCTAAGATGCTAAGTGTCTGGTCGTCTATTCAACCAATCAAAGCGTAATATGCTAATGATATGCTAAGGCCGCTCAACTGCTTGCTATGACATGCACTGACCACCAAGGGGCAGAGAGTCGACTGGTGGACCAATTGCTATGACATGCACTGACTATCAGGGGGTAAATGCTCCGATTGGTAGGTTAGCTTGCTGCTGGGGTCCAGCCATTTGGGACTGAGCTAGACAGGCCAGACATGCCCTGGAGCCCTTCCGCGGTCCCTCCCTGCCTGGCCAAACTCCTGTGTCCCTCCCCAGCTCTGATCGTGCACCAATGGGGTCCCTCGGCTTAGCCTGCGCCCTCTCGCAGTCCGGGACCCCTTGGGGGATGTCAGAGAGCCGGTATTGGGCCAATCCCGCTCAACGCAGGAGCTTCCCCCGGTTGTCAGTGCGCTCCCACAGGGGGAGCGCTGCCTAGCCAGAAGCCGGGCTCACAGCTGGCGAGCACAGCAGCGGTGGTGGGAGCCTCTCCCACCTTCATGGTTGCGCTAAGGATGTCCAACTGCCAGCTTAGGCCCGCTCCCCATGGGGAGTCAGCAGTTAGACATCCCCCAAGGGCTCCCAGACTGTGAGAGGGCGCACACTGGGCTGAGGGACACCCACCCTGTGCATGAATTTCGTGCACCGGGCCTCTAGTTTACATATAAGAGACATTTGTTTAGTAAATTTAAATGCAAATCTCAAAAGTCAGTATTATATATGTATTTGAAGGTATATATATTTAATATCTATGAATCATTACTGAGATTAGCTATTTCAAAATCGGCTTTAAAAATCACATATCTTGATAAATAATTAAATGCATATATACACATATAAATACACACTCACATGTATTACTTGTATGATACCCACTAAATACCAAGTGGAAATCAGTGTCCACTGATTTTTAAAAAATTTTTAAATTCTTTTAATAATTAATTATTAATCTAAATGGAAAGCATTTCAGCATCATCATAATATTGTATAATGTGAATTTAATAAGAATATGAGTGTAGTATCCTAGCATGAAAAGAAAAATAAGAAAGAAAAACAATCATTTTTGTTTTTCTGGGATAAAATATTTTACAAAAGTAGATTAATTGTACCATTAATTAACTGTTTTTTAATTCCACTTACAAAAAAAAACACACCATTATTATGGATGTGTTAATACCAGGCAAATAAGTGATAAATACAATTTTCATATGAGAATAAAAATTTCAAATCTAGGCTTTGATGTGGAGGTAAACATAACAACAAACAGAACAAATACAATTTATTGGAATTAGACTATATAATAAACTTCTCAGGTGGAAATACCTTTGCAGCAGATACTAATGAGTCTTTATTTCTTTGTCTTTCTTCCTCCAAACATTTTTCCAATATTTCCTATAAATGATAAAACAGATATTAAATGTATTATTTGAAGTAACAGAGCACATTCTTTTCCCACTCTGAGCAAAGTTAAAGCATTACCTTCTGTTCTTGAGATTGCTGTACCAAAGCTTCCTTTATTTTTTCTTTTAACAGATCCTTCTCTGTATCTAGCATTTCAAGGAGCCTCTGATGCTACAAGGAAAGATAAATGGATTATGTTTATACTCTGAGATCTATAATCTCTGAACAAGGAGGACAGCTGGTGGAATTCATTTGCCCAAAATACTGTATTTAACTACAGATTCAAAAGATGAATCTAGGGAAACAATCAATATTATGTGATAGCTAATGTTAAAGCACACAGAGTTCATGTATTTACTTTTATTCCAATGTACTAGTGAAAAAAACACTCAGAAGCATCAGCCAGTAATAATAAACTAAGCACTTAGATTTTGAATGGAGTTTTCTTATGGGGAAACACAACAAAAGAAAATATATTCCTATTCTCATGGATTTCTCTTTCATTTACAAAGGGCAAATAATATATTTTCTCAGATTTATAATGCTATTTATATAGAAGTTTCCTTTAAATAGAATTAATTCTGATACCCAATATTTAAAACCAGATCTATGTCTTTCAAAATAGTTCTGATTTAAAACTGGTAACCTCTAATCGTTTTTGTCTCTATGAATTTGACTATTCAAGATATTTCATATACATAAAATCAAACAGTAGTTGTCCTTTGTAACTGGCTTATTTCACTTAGCGTACTGTTTTCAAGATTCATCCAACTTGTAGTATGTATCTAAAGACCATTCCTTTTTATGGTTAAATAATATTCTATTATATGTATATGCCACATTTATCTGTTCATCTGCTGATGGACACTTGGTTTGTTTCCACCTTTTGGCTATCGTGAATAATACCACTGTGAACATTCACATACAAATATCTACTGGAATCCCTGTTTTCAATTCTTTGGATATAAATCTAGGAATAGGACTGCTGGGTCATATAATAACTCTCTTTAACCTTTTGAGAAACCACCAAACTGTTTTCTATAGCTGCTGTACCATTTTACATTCCCATGAACAATGTGAAAGAGCTCCAAATCTCTCTCTATCCTCTACAATATTTGTTACTTTTTTGCTTTTTAAAAAATAGTCATTTTAGTAGTTGTGAAACTGTATTTCATTATGGTTTTATTTCCCTAATGATTAAGCAAGTTAAACATCTTCATAAATGCTAACTTCTACTTCTGACACTAACTACTACTACTCCATTAAACTATAACTAGTATTATCTTCACAAAAAGAAAAATGATTAGAACTCTTTTTGCGGCCTTAAAAAGGAACTATAGTCGAAAGTGCACTGGATTTGAGGTTTGTTCACTGTCTGAGATTCTACCAGAAGTAGGGATGTCTTTCCTCTCTGGGCTAGAGATTATTTTAGTTATTTTACCAAAATAAACTAGAAATTATTAAGTATTAAGAGAGAGCTTGGTCCCCAAAATTTCAGCCTCCCCTCATTCTATCTAAAATAAATTATAGAGATATCTGGAGATTGGCTATATTAGTTCTTCCTTCTGCGTCAATATAGAATTCCTTAATGGTCCAAAAGGTCCAGCACCTGGAAATGGTTCACGTGATTTATGAAGGTATGAGGGATGACTGGTGAATACATTTTTTGTACCTTATTAACTGATCATTCCAAGGTAGGGATGTTCAGAACTGCTTTTGTTACATAGAAGCTGAAATTGAACCAGTGGCAACATCCAATCATAAGACTCTCTTTCAAATATTTATAATATTTAAACAAAGAGAGACTTTCAACAAGATTTGCAGGACATAGACTTACAGCATTTTAAAAATCATCATAAAAATTAATTGAAATCTATACAAGTACATTTCATCCAAGAACAGTGAGAAGTTTGCTACATTTTACTTATCCAAAATATTCTATTGATTGCTTCTTAAAATTATATTGTAATTTTAGTAATTTTTTTAGCTAATGAAAAAACAAATGTAAACTATAAAGTTCTATTAATCTTAAAGAGTACTTAAGGCAAGGGTGTCAAGGACAGTCCTTTGAAATTTAGCCTAAAACAAAAGGCACTCAGAAATAGGTTATTTCTTTTTCCCCCTTTGCAAGAAATTATTCCAAGTGAAAAATGTTTGATGCAAAGTCAAATATAAATATAGAGGTTCTGTGGTTTTTACTGATTCCTGTAAAAAAAAAAAAGAAATATAAAAAAGCTCTTTTTTTCCTGGAATATGAGTCACAGGAGATATTGTAAACAGATTTAATCACAATCACACATGCACAGTTTTTTGTCGATTAGATTTTAGACTAAGCAGTCATGGACGCTCATGCTCAGTTATACAGTTATCCATGTATCACAGGCCCACAAACTTCACTTTACTTTGTATGTGGGGTGTGTGTGTGTGTGTGTGTGTGTGTAGTAGATAGTCTGTAATGCAAACTCAAGAAGCATCTTCTCATACCTTCTATAAATCACAAACATTGAACAAGATCAAGTGATTTGGCAGGATAGTCTTAAAGCACACGCTCAGACATGCCTCCATTTAATACGATTTGAAAGAGGCTACATAAATTTAATAAACATCCTGATATAAAGTAAGTCACAGATATTTCACCCATTCATGGGCCAACATGAATTATTATTTGGAAAGAAAACCTAAAAAAGATAAACTATAAGATTAAATGTACTTGAAGCATTTACCACAAGCCCAATAATATCAATAAACTTTTTAAAGTGAATAAAATAAAACTATAATATAAGCTACACTAGATTTACTTCACCCAAATAGATATATTTATAATAGGCAAGAGAAAATGTAAGCAAATAAGTTAGTCACCCTTTTCAAATAGGCATTTGACTTAAGGGAATGATATAAAGGAAGGAAACAAAATTGGGAGACACATCAGCTTTATTGAAAAGGCAGGGCTAGTTTATACTTCCATAATGAGATTTCTGTATTTGTATAGTGTATATTTTAATAAATGCCAAAGATATGTCACAATCCTGAACTTAAGCAGAAGAGTATTTCTACTTCAATCATTTTCAAGGGAAATAGCTTTTAAAAATGCAACTCAATTCTGCT